TGCTATTGATGAAGATAATTTAATTTATCAATTTAAAAATCTAGCCATGAAAATTGCCTTTATGGGTGATGATACTTGGGTTTCTCTATTCCCTGATCAATTCGATCAAAATATGACTCATCCTTTTCCTTCTTTCAATGTTTGGGACCTACATACTGTTGATGATGGAATATTAAATTTATTGGGTCCAACTTTGAAACTGGAAAATGATCGTAAAGGTTCTTCCTTAACACAATCTCATTCAAATTCTTCACAATGGGATATATTAATTGCTCATTTCCTAGGTGTTGATCATTGTGGACATCGTTATGGACCTGATCATCCAGCTATGGCTGAAAAATTAGGTCAAATGGATGATATGATACGGAATGTTATTAGAGATATTGATGATAATACTGTCGTATTTATTATGGGTGATCATGGTATGGATCCTAAAGGTGATCACGGTGGTGATAGTGAAGAAGAAGTTGAATCTACACTTTTCATGTATAGTAAGAAACGGTTGACACTTGACGCGACAAACGTTCTTTCCAGGATTTACCAAAAATTAGATGCGATCGAGTCTCATGGTTCAAAGTCGTTTACTGAAAAGTATGGAACTTGGAGGAGCATTCCTCAAATTGATCTTGTTCCGACGTTGGCTCTTCTTCTGGGAATTCCAATACCATTTAACAATTTAGGTTCGGTGATCCCTGAAGTGTTTCTTTTTAACTCTGAAGATGAGGATTTAAATATTAACAAACAATTAATGAATCTCTTGGATGTTACGCGCCTTAATGTTGAGCAGGTATATCGATACATCATTGAGTATTCTCTTCAGCAGCCATCTACTGAACTATCAAAAGATGTTATTCATGTTCTTCGAAATATGTTTGAACATGCGGAATCAAAATATAATTTGCTGAAAAATTCTTCAGATTTTCCATTAATTGATGATTTGGAAGATTTAATCGTACTTTACATGAGTTTCCTAAAGAATACTTTGTTCATATGTAGACGACTGTGGGCTCAATTTGATTTACACCTAATAATAACAGGAATTAGTATCTTATTTTCAAGTTGTGTGTGTATTGGCTTGCATATTACACGAAACACAAAGAGTTTTGACAATCAAAAGACCGTTATGTACGCGTTTATTGGTGGAAGTTTTGGTGCAATATTCTCTTTAGGGTTCATTAAATTCATAGATCCGTTAATAATAGGTTCTAGCTTCTCAACTTTTGATTTTACAATATTCGGTGCTTCGTTTGGATCAATGATAGCTTTCATAATTCATTACATAAGATTTGATTCGTTACCCATTTTACAAAAGAATTTTCCTTTCATATCTTTTGACGCGTTCATGTCCATATTTTTTTTAATAATTAATTCGTTTTTATTTGCATCGAACAGTTTTACAGTATATGAAGATCGTATTACAGTTTTCTTATTACAGACATTTGGACTTTTTACGTTATTTAAATCATTTAAAATCAAAACCAAGGGATTAAGACTAAAATTACAGTTTTTTACATTAATGTACTTATTAGCTACACGGATTGCTGCATATTCCACGATATGTAGAGAAGAACAAATGCCTTATTGTATTTCAACATTTTACATTTCTCCAACATCAACCGTGTCATCACCACTTACCTTGACAATCTTGATAGCGATGACAGTATTTATGCCATACATTATTTGTCGTTTATTAAATTTATCTGGAAGTTATAATGGTATAGCACCTTTATGGATTGAATTCGGGTTAAGAGGTGGATTAATATTGTCTGCTGCTTATTGGGTAATGGATAACTTAGATAGCAATTCAACTTCTAATAGAGATGAAACAAATTTTAACACAACGGATATACTATTCAACCAAGGTTGGAGGTGGTTCAAAAATTTTATAGTTAGACTCGCTTTTGGACTATCTACTATAGTTGGAACTGTAGCATGGTCGACAAGTCCATTATGCTTAGAATTAAAAATGATCGATATTGAACCGGATGAAATATTAAATGAAAATTCTACAAAATCTGACAAAAATATACATGTAAAATTAAAAAATTCAAGTAGTCAAACATCTTCAAAGCAGCCGGTGAAATCCTTTGATGATAAATCATCATCGGAAAAACGAACTAAACATTCAGGAAAAGCATTTGAAATATTAGGATACAGAAATGCGTTTGGTTCATCATACTTTGTTTTTTTGACAATAATCTATCTTCTTTTATTTATAACACAAAAACCAATGGGAGGTATAATGTTATCAATTGGTTTATGTCAACTAATGTGTTTATTAGAAATTATAGACGCAAAACGAGATGCTTATGAATTAAACATTGAAAAAAAACCTTCATCAAAAGAGGATGAAAAATACGTATCGAATGCATCTTCCTCATCTAACTCATATACTAATAATTTTCAAAACAATTCTATAAAATTTCTTGATGTAGTAATTCTCTCATTATTATCGTCATTATACTTTTTTTCAACAGGTCATCAAGCGACATTATCTTCAATTCAATGGTCCGTCGGATTCATTGGCATAGAAGATTTGAGTTACATTATTTCTCCATTATTAGTCACATTAAACACCCTTTCTTCTCAAATTCTTTTTTCACTCGCAGTTCCATTATTAACTTTTTGGAATATTGCACCTAAATCCGATTACCCCTTATTTCAACAACTTACTAGAACAATTTTGATGTATATGTTTTATAATGGTGTAGTGACAACTAGTAGTGTATTTTGGGCGGCTTTTTTTAAAAGACATTTAATGGTTTGGAAAGTATTTGCACCCAGATTTATGTTGGGAGGAATTAATTTACTTATTGCGGATTTGGTTATTTGTGGACTTTCGATTGGATTTGGTTGTTGGAAAGTTATGAAAGAGATCACTAAATATTCTGAAATTATTTATAAATAGACTAATTTAAAAAAATTTAAATTTTCTCGAATAATATATATGTTCTATATATATGTATAAAAATACAAATAATTTAATGTGACCTCACGAAAATTCTACAAAAGTTTATCGTTATACATCAAACACGTATGGGTATACATGTATATTTACGCGTGCTTTCAAGTTTATTTTTCAAAAAAATAACTTTGGGGCAACTATAATCGAAATTCTAATTTGCTTCTCCCGAGAATTTGACGTGGCGGCTATAGTTGTTAAGCGAAACCTTAAAGGCTTCATGCTGGTGAAGTCAAAACTCTAATTTCGATTTTTTGCCAAAAAAAATTTAAAAAAATGAAATGGTGAAACGTGATGAAACTAGAAATTGGCAAAATCAATGATACTGAAAGTTGTAAAAACTGGACTATCATCCGTACATTTCCCAATCATAAGTAAAATACAATAAGAACGTAAAGCAGATAAACTTACCTTTTTATTTTGCTTGGCATTGTACACTCCCCTGACATTGATCACCGGAATTTTGATAATCACGTATTAGTATGGGTGGATTTTGACGATTTCGGACACGTATACCCCCATGGCGTGTACTCCCTAGCAGTTTTAAGAGCCAGTTGGTGACTTGTACCCGGGTACACGGGTATTATACATACTACAAGTGTAAGTGGGGGCCCCTTTAGAGATCACGTTTTTGATTTCAAAATAATCATATGTTTGTTCAGTAACGGTGAAAGTTTGATCTGAATTAGAGAGCTTCTAATAAAACTTTTAAGGAGAGATCGAAGGATTTCTTAGGCATAATGTCCATGTGCTGCAAAGAATGATTTTGACGGAAAGATTTTGAATATTTTATTTGGTTCATTCGCCGGTTAAATTAAAAAGAGTGATAATTCAATACAAATGGTTGGAGTTAGTTTGTATTGAGATTGTCGTAATTTTTATAATAAGTTACATTAAAACATTCTTTTATAGAACTTACTTGCTATTCTAGTGACTGCAGTATGTGGTTAAGGTCATATGAGTTTGCATTAGAATTTTCATGATTTCTACTATGATACGTAAAAAACTCTGTTACGGAACCTACTCGCTATTCTGGTGACCACAGTGTGGTTAAGGCTAATTTGTACTGGAATTGTCTTGATTTCTATGTGATTAAGTTTGAATTAGTTTGCATTAGAGTTATTGTATAGAGCTTACTCGCTATTTCGGTGTGGTTAAGTTTGTTTGCACTGAAATTATTATATTAGAATTATTGTAATTCTACTATGAGATACTTTAAAAAATTCTATTACAAAACTTGCTATTTTGGTGACCACAGTATTGAATAAGGTTGAGGTAGTTTGTATCTGAAATCGTCTTAATTGCTATGTGATTAAAGGAGATTATACTTGCATTGAAATTATAATTTTTATACATTACTGTAAAAAACTGTTAAGAACTTACTTGCATTCTAGTTTGTATCAAATTATTGTTAACTTCATCACCAAAATTACTATTCCATTTGATTGTTCACTATCTATATCCCAATTAATAATATAACTTACATACGCGACCTTATAAAAAAAAACATTCAGATTATAATCAGATTATTATTTTTAAAAAATGGGCATTTTTTGTAATAAGAACCTATATTAAAACCTTTTAAATTCCTGAATATTTTAGATTTCTTTTTTGGTTATAATTTTTTTTTTTATTGCCATAAAATATAATCAGAAAATCTGAAATATTCAGAATTTAGAAATATTCAGGGTTTTAAATATAAAAAATGCTTATTTTTTAAAAATAATAATCTAAACAAAATCCGAATAAATTTTTGATTTTTTTTTGTATAGCAAAAATCGATTTTAAAAAATTGTAAATGCAGGAATAGCAAGAAACTATGAATGCCATAATTAATAAATAACTGGTATTCTTGATTCCCAATTTTATGTATATAAATTATTAATTCATAATGATAAATTGATTACAAATATATAGCATATATTAATTATACAAATAAATTTATTATAAAATCATATACTATCAGATTTTTGATAATATTTGAATACTTTATACAGTCAAGTCTGCATATAATGAACCCTGAGAGTCTATATATAAAAATATTTAAAAAATTCCTTATAGAGAATTTACTATGTTTTTGTACTGAACTTTATAATAAATTGCTAAAAAAAGTTTGTTATAAAGTGAGTTTGTTATAAAAAGATTCATTATATCCAGAGTCAACTATATTTATTCTTTTTAATACTAATTTTTTTTAAATTAATAACTATGATTTTTATTTTTTTGGTTTTAAAAGTGAGGTCTTCTTTATTGGGTAATTTATATAAAAAATTATATATAAAATATATAAAAACTTAATTTATATACAAATAAATAAATATAAACTATATGCAAGAATAAAAGCTTAGACTAATTTATCTGTGACCTAAACCTACTAGTGTGGTCAAGACTCATCTAGATTTGAATAGTTAAAATGTAATTGGTAGAAGTGCTGTATTGAATCCCGGTATAGAGTGAATTATATAACGAACTTACTCTATACCGAACAAAAAGGTCCAGAATATGCAGTTCGGTATATCCAGAGTCGACTGTATATACCTACAATTATTTTTGTAATTATTTCGTATTAAGGATATCTTTGTAAGAACAAATAATTCCTTTGTATAAAGATATCTTTATACTGACTTGCAGTTATTCACTGTCTCATTATGATCGCATGGGATTTACCAAAATTTTATCACAGATTTATTTATTTATTTTTTTCTTATTAGTTATTTCCCGGACTTATTAGTTATCTCCCCGGCTTTTTTTATTTATTTCTCCGACATTATAAAGATGTAAAGAAATGTGATTGAAATGATTAGTAATACGGGTTCCCATCATCTCGCCATATGAAACGGTAAATAACACATTTATTCACCGTAACGGGGAAATTATTGAAACATTTTGTTATTTAAATTAACGATGCATTTATAAAAGACAAACAATTACTTTGTACAATATCTGTGTTACTAGTGATTTTTTGGTATTTTATATATAACAGTGATTAACGTTTGATTTTCTACGTCTTTAAAA